ATAAACCTGAAAGTCAAATATTGAGATTTTTAGATAATAACAGGTTTAAAGATACTTTTAGAACATATAAAGATATCCAGAAAATGAAAATATGCAGAACAAAACAACACTAAATTTTTCTTGGAGAAACAGTACCCAAGAAGTTAAAAGCAGAATAGATCAAATATGGGTATCAGATAACTTAACAGATCAACTTTTTTGTACAGATATTATACCCTCAGATTTGGAAAGTCAAAGTAACCATGCATGTGCAATAGCAGAAATAGAAGACAATTTTCTTAAATATACTAAATCTATAACAGATTCTGATAAAATTCTAAATAAAATAGAATTTAACTTCAAGGGAACATCTGAAAAAAATGGAAAAAATTCAAATCCTAGATTGAATTGACTATAGCAGAAAATATCACCTTTGGAAATGACAATATTGAAGAAAAATGGAATTTTTTTCAGAAATTTCATAATTGGAAAAGCAAATGAAGTAATTACAAAAAAGAAAAAACTTATATTTGGGAAGTATGAAGAATCAAAAGCACTACATAATTACTTCATCATATATAGAAAACTGATATCTATAAGAAAGATTCATGACTAGAGCAGACAATGGTATACTAACAGAAAACAAAAACAAAAGAGCATATTGGAAGAAAAAATAGTTAAAAAAATAAAAAACATTAGAGAAGTGTATAATATAGAAATTGAAGTCCCTCATGGACAGAAACAACAGAAGAGACTAAAAATTGGTGAAAGGAGTCAAAAGAATGCACCATAATCTACACAAAGTATTTGATGCAGAAATAAAAGATGCAAATTATAAAAAAATTAAAGAACAGATTATCAAAAGAAATAAAAACTTCCAAGACAACAAAAAAATAGTTATTCAAAGTTTTCTAAATAAAGAAAGACCTAGAATATCAACAGACGGTTTAATTAGAACAATCAATAAGCAAGTTGAAGTATTAACAGATTCAGAAGAAATAAAACAAGAAGTTAAAAATGTATTTAGTCATTGTATTACCTCAAAAAATATAGAAAACCTAGATCAGAATTAAGTGTGGAAACAAATTTATAATCAAAATAATGAAATACAAGAGGAATGGTATCTACCATTAACAAAAAAATTTACAGTAGAAGAAATTGAAGGAATTATCAGAAAATTACTAAATAAAAAGGTAGCAGGTCCATCTACAATTATCAATGAACTATAGAAACATATAGGTAACAATGCATTACAATTTCTCACAGATATATATAATCAGATTTTTAAAAACAAAGAAATACCAAAAGAATGGTCAGAAAAATATAGCTAAACTCAAAGATTAGGAGAAGAATATATGGAATACTAGACCAATAACCTTACTAGAAATAGCTAGAAAAATATTTACAAAAGGAATTTATAATAGACTTAGTACAATATTAACAAAACACACAATTCTAAATGAAAATAACTGAGCAGGTTTGTCAGAGGGATCAACACAAGGACCTATATATATTTTGAACAATTGTATAGAGGAAGTTAAAGAATTTAAAAAAGAAATATGGATCTTATCACAGGACATATCAAAAGCTTTTGATTCAATAAATATAGAAATGCTAAAAAAAAATATGAAAAGAATAAAAATTTCAGAAGAAATTATAGTAATAATAGATAATCTACTAAAAAATAGAACTAATAAAGTAATAACCTATTATGGATTGACAGAAGCATTTAATTCTAATCTAGGGATAGAATAAGGAGATGCATTATCACCTCTATTATGGAGAATATATTATGATCCTCTATTAACACAAATTCAAAGTCAAGCAGAAGGTTATTACATGAAAAAAAGACGATATGGTGATATGAGAATACATGAAGAAAAGAGATTCAAATATAAGATAAATGCATTTGCATATATGGATGATACTACATACATATCTCAAGATAAAAAGCAAATGGAAAAGATATTAAAAACAGTAGAAGAATTCTCACAAATAACAGGTATACAAATCAATGCTGAGAAATCCCATTTTATTTGTATAAATAACACATCTAAAGACAAAGAAGAAAGATCTAATAAATTCATGGGAGAAGAAATAAATGCAATAAATAAAAATGAACATGTGAGAATATTGAAAATTTAGATGTCAGCAAATGGTAAAAAACAAGATCAAAAAAAATTAATAGAAGAGAAAGTAAAAAACATTTGTAGAATACTAATATAGAAAAGGGCTACAGACAAAAAAGTTAGATATATAATCAACCAGGTACTATGTCCAGCAATTGAATATCTATTAAATGATATAATTCTATTAGAAATTTATGCAACAGAATTAATTCAATGTGTTTAAAAGTTATAAAACACAAAGCTGGTTTTGCAAAAACAGTTATAAATAGTTTATTTTTCTTAAATGAAAGTTACAAAGTATTTAACATTAATGATAGACAAATCTAAATGCATGGTAAAAACATCAATGACCATTTAAATAAAACAAATATATTAGGAATAATAACTAATATAAGATTGTAACAATTTCAAAATTTCTTATGAACAGATGAATTATTTCTGAAAACAGAAAAGATAATCAAAATCAAAGAAGGAAGTAACCTTACAGCATCAATAATTAATTTATGTAAGAGGAACAAA